AAATCGTGCATCCCTAATGTAAAGGAATCGATTCAAAATGGATTAAATCGATTTTTTTTTTTTTACCCAGCCCTACCGAGTACACATATAGAGAAACGGCCTCTGTGTTGCTTCTGTTGAACAGGGTTCCTGCGGGTCCTTAAAAAGTCTTAAAAGGCATTGAATTCTTCAAAATAAAACTAAGGCCTTAATTGGTATTAAAATGTATTAAATCAGTCTTTCGTAGGTCTTAATGTTTAAAACCTCATAAATAGGATTATTTTTATTACGATTTATTTTTGTAATCTAAATAAAACATTTTTTTTTTCTATTATAAAAAAAAAACAAAAACAGCTCGCTATTATTGGTTCCGTCCTGATAGCGGAACCAATAAAAGCGTTGTTGTGGCCGGGACATTTGGGAGATGCACCATTAATTTTTTGTCTGGAAAATATAAACAAGTATAAATGTAACCAAAATTGTTTATCCAGCCAAGAGTTTTCTCTGTGGCTAAAACCAGGGAACATACATAAGGCACAGAGTATTTTGTACAAGAAGTCATTTAAGCTCGGAACGATGGGAATTAAGGCAGTGGAGTCGCACATGCTAAGCGCGAAACACAAATCGTCAAAATGGAGTTACAGAGAAACAGCCGGTATTTCTCAGTTTAGTTCCACCCTTGTCTCTGCAACGCCTCCACTTATCACCAAATCAAACATACTAAGAAAACGATACAAAGAAAAATAGCTGCAAAAAAGACTTAGCACTGGTTATGTTGTGGCTTTAAAACTGATTTGTTTTGTTCCCTGCTAAAACAAAGTTTGTGAATTCAGTTAAATAATTGTTAAAATATATCTGTCATTTGTGTGTTTTTAGCTTTCTTCCTGTATGGGAAGCTTTTCAAAATAAAAATAAAAATTAGTGCAGTGGCTTAAGTTAAAATAAACCTTTGGGTTAAGTTGTCGCAAGCAGGTTTTTCTTGTGTGTCTTGTGAATTTTTATTTCAAATGGCATTAAAAAGTCTTGAATTTAACTTGCCTTATGCTGTAGGAACCCTGGTTGAAGGTTATGCTTGAATATTTCTAAATCAAACATCTGTTGTTTTGTTTCTTCCCGTCTGACTCTCCTCCAGCTGATTCCCTGGAGTCATAGAGGACGCCTCCTACCTTCAGATCAAGATGCAGTGAGACGTATTCGATCGCATCTGGGACTGAAAGTCGTGACATGCAGCAAACACCACTTCACCGCCTGTGTAACATCTCCCAACAGCCAATAAAATTACTGGTCTCTTCTTTGTCTCCACCATTCCAAAAAAACTGTGCAATAGTTCTTTTTTTTTTAAATAAGAAAAATGGTTCAGCTGCAGGAATAATTCCAACATGTGAAGACTGTTGCTTGTCCCCCCTCCCTCTCCTGTTGCCAAGAATGCTCTCCTCACACCTCTGCTGGACTGAAGTAATCAGACCCTAAAAGGAGGATCAAGGCCTTTTAAAAACTAAGAATGAACTTTATATAAGCTGGAGCTTATTCTGGCTGAAACATCATGTTAGTTGTGGAGGAAGCCTGGGGAAAGGCAGCTGCTGTTTCATCCGCTCTGATACCTTTCCCTGTTTTCCTTTGTGACCGATCACACTGCTGCACCATCAGTTTATGTCGCAAAGAATACCTGAAACTGCTTCCGTAACAGAAAATATCGGCATGTTATGATTAATAGTTTGGGCAACATATTACTCTAAATTGTATTATCCAAGTATTAGGCATCTAACAAACAAGATTTGACTCATTAAGTTTCTTGATCGTCTCATTTTCAAGCTCATCTTTAAAAACAAACGATGTTTTTGTCGTAAGGAAGTATTGTGCACAGCCTCAGTTCAGGTTTACATGCGTTTGTCACAGATCTGAATATCTTTAGGTACATTGTTTGTTCACTGGAATTATTTTTCATCCTTTCAAGATACATTTTTTAAAGACTAAGACCGGACGAGCTGGTCAGTTTAACGTGTTTCTTCAGTATTTTTTTTATTTTAAAGATCACAAGGAGGACCGTAGAGGAGAGCTGCTGATCGATCTTATATGAGGGCTGCATTTGAAGGAAAGTCAGAATAATGTGAAATTTTTTCTTTTATTTCTGATGTTTGCATGACTCTGCTTAGGATCGTCACGTTTGTAATGCTACCGACTCCCGTCGGAGGCGGAGTTAAACCACTACAGCTTATTGGAGGTGCTTTAAGGACGTTTGCTTTTGAGGGACAGCCACTCGTCGGGTTTGTTCCTGCTTTAGTCTTAAAAGGAAAAAAACAGTCATTCGTTGTGACTCGGACCTGGTTGCTGCATTCACTGTGAATTCACTCGAACAGAGTGTTTGGAACAGAAGCATGCAGAAATCATAGGTATGTCTTATCTCTTTCATTTCCTGTCGTCCTTTAACCCAAATACAGTAGGTCCCAGATAATGGTAGGACTCCTGCCAAAGTCTCTGTGCATTTTTTTTTTTTTAAAGTAAATCAACAAGCAGGAATTTCTTTAGAGATATTTGACATTACTGTTTAGATAATGAGTAAACATGAACACGACGTGAGCCCATTGAAGCTGGGATGATTCTTATTTTTGAGAGAAAAACAAGCGATGGGGATCATCTTGTAGGTGGATGTTACCTGACTAATGTGCCTCTAATGACTACTTATACATGTGTTATAAGTGAACAACCTCCATTTATATTTTTTGCGTATTTTACTTCTTTTTATTTTCTTCGATATTCTGCCCTGTCTTTGCTTTGTTTTTGTTTTTTACGTGGATAGATGTTAAAGCAGCTTGTTGCATTGGGGATGCACCAATCAGATCTTTTTCTGGCCAATTACAATTTCCGGTTTTCTATTTAATTTGACCTTTTATGATTGTCTTTTTTTCCTCTTCCCTTAGTGATTGTTATGCAAAGATGGAAAACTATGCTGTGGGTTCTAAACGAAAAAAAAAAAGTTTGAATATGATAAGAATTTAGCAGAATTTTCCAATCTATTTATCTAAGATAATGCCTTGAACCTTTAATGCAATAATGCAAGTACCTGATGTTTGTTTTCACATATTTGGTCCGAACCTTGTGGAATTCCCTATTTAACACGCATTTATATCTGATTCAAATCTTTGACCGACTGATTGGTGTGTGTCCGTCTAAAAACGGTCTCATCATAGCTGGTTATTTTTTCCTGTCTGCGTGTTTTTCATCATTTTGTGTTCACTGTTTTCCCTCATCATTAAAAAAACATTGTTAGAAACTTTGTTGTGTGTTATTTGTTTGCTTTGGAGGCTGGCTTGTGAAGAATATAAATGTTTTGAATTTGTGACTAAAGAACTTGGCAATCCATGTATTGTCATGAAACTAAACACCCTAAACCAATTTATTAATATATATGTATATGTATATTTTCTGAAGATGTTGCATTATTTATTAGAAATAAAAACCGTGCAGAAACCATCATTTTAATGGACAAACTGGAGTAGTTTACTTAATATTTCCATTATAACGCCTATTTTTTCTGTTACCACCAGATGGCGCTGTTTGCCATTGTTTCATTCCCATAGGTTTTCCAGTGAGTAATGGAATCAGACCTGAGGCTGATCTTTGGTCAAAAGCGTGCTCTTTAACAAGAAAAGAAAGGCGTTCTGTTATTTAGCTTTCGTTAAAATGTCTAAAAGGTCATTTAGATCTGCACAGAATCACAAAGATTTAGACAGTTATTACATTGATAGTAATCTGGAAACGGGGTCCTGGATAATTCTTGAGAAGGAAGCTCCTGTCAACGGGCGCAAAGATTGTATACGGTATTTAAAGACAGACCTTTTACTCCTTTTTAAATTTCAGTTCTATCCCTTAACATAGCACGCGCTATTTTACTCAGTAAGATAAAATAGGGTTGTTAAAAGTGTTGATACTCCGGTATACGGATACAATTATAATCTGGCATGGTACTAATACTAAATATAAGTATTGTTTGCAAATGTCTGCCGGTGTTACTTTTAGACTTCTGGATTGTTTACACTTTAAAAGAATAATACAACGACCAACCAAAAAAATAACACATTTTGTTATATTTGGGTTATTTATTTATTAAACTGTGACTAAAAACAGTGATTTTTGTCATGCTTTTAAATGTGTTTAATTTTTGAGCTGTTCTTATGCCGATGGTTAAAAAAAATCGAGTACTGAATATTTTCCCGAATGTGTTAAATATGTATAGCTATATATTACTAAATAATCAATTGGTTAAAAAAATTATAATAATTCTGAAATTGTCCAAAAACATCCATATTTTGTAAATAGGGCGTCCAGTTGGTTTTCTGTGGGGAATAAACCCTCTCTCCGTTTAGACGATCTTTGTGTGAGGATCAGTTGGTGGAGGAAAGCTCCTCTCCCGCTGACGCTATGATAGAGCTACTGGACGCCGCTTTCCGTTTCTCCTGCTGACCTCTGCCTTTGGGACAGTTTACTGACGAATTTTGTTGTTGGCAGACTCACACACACACAAAAAAGAGTTATTTATGAGCGCCTTTCGTCCACTTCTTTCTGGTAGCTGCTGGCCTCGGAGGCTAGCTGGCTAAGCGGAGCGGTGACCGAGTGGAGCCAGCTGGTCGGACGCAGAAGCGTTAGCGACCAAGCTAATTAGCCAGGAGCACCGGGCTTGGATTACTGTTTTTAACCCCAAACAGAGCCGAGCTGCGGGCTCTCTACACTGCGGAGAAACATGAAAATAACCGTAGAATTTGAGGAATGTCTGAAAGACTCCCCACGCTTCAGGTGAGTGACAATAACTGGACATCTTCTCTGGTCTTTATTTATGCAGGGAAAGTATCCAGTTAGCCCGATGATCAGCGGTTAGGAGCTGGCTGGTTGCTGCCTGCAGCTCTTCTATTTCTGTCCCTTAAGGAAGCCGGATCCTACGGAAGAGGATTAGGGCCAGTGAAAATATAGAAAAAAAGTTAACTGGTTTTAAAATTTTATTTCACTATAATATGGGGAAAAAAAGTCAGAATCCTGACCTTTTTCTCAGAATTCTGACTTTTAACAGAATTCTGACTTTAATCTCCGAATTCCAACTTTTTTCTCAGAATTCTGACTATAATCTCAGAATTCTGACTGTATTCTGACAGCTAACAAACATGTTAGCATCAAGCCGTACCCATGTCTGTTTCAAAGACTAAACTAGCTCTCTTGTTTTAATCATCTTCTGCCCTTCCATTAATTAAATTGCATCTTTGTGTTAAATAGTATCACGTAAAAAGCCGCCTAATTCCGTAATTTTTCACCAATGTTTTACCGGCCTTCCCAAACAAAACTCACATCTTTGTCAGTGAAGCTGGGTGCTCCCACATCTCTTCCTACATGGTACCCATCTGTATTACAATCCAAAATTCTGAGATTAAAGTCAGAATTTTGAGAAAAAAGTTGGAATTCTGACTTTTTTTTCTCACATTGTAGTGAAATAGAATTTAAAAATCAGTTCACTTTTTTTTATTTTTTCAGTGGTAATTCTGTAATCCTCTTCCGTAGGATCCAGACCCGGAGGTGAAGAAAACAAACTCTCTGAGCTGTGGGTTGATTGTTTCCCTTTATAAATTATATAGAGATATGGAAATATAACCTATGTATTAAGGCAGTGTTCTTCACTAAAATTGGAATGTGTTGTACTATGTGCTTAAATACTAATGTCACCCACTCAGATTAATCTTAGCAGTCAGTCAGTTAAGGAACAGAATAATCTACAGAGTCACAACTTTAAGATTTAAGATGATGTTTTTATTTTCCTCTTCTATTTCCAAAATATATTCAATAGAAAAAAGATTTTAAAGTCATAAAAAAATGTATTCTAGTACACTTTTAACCCAAACAACCAAACTTTAAATCCAACACAATATGAGGAGTAAAAAAATACTCTCACCATGAATGAATCAAAACATTATCCCCCAAATTTGAATCAGTGTCTTTATTAAAAAATTATAAAAAAACAAGGGAATATGAGGCTAAAACTGTTGGTAGATCCCTTTTGAATTTTCTTTTATCTACTGATTATCAAACAGGTCTGATTAATACATCTTGCTGATCATTGGTTTATTGATTTGCTGCATCCCTATGTTTTTATTTTAATAAAGATATAATGAATTCAATGTGCTTTTGAGTTTATAAATAAGGATATTCTAGCCAAAACTCTCTCTCTGTTTTATCGCCTATAAACACCATCATATGTTCTGGTGTTTGCATCTGTTTTCTTCAGAAATTTAATGACTTACAAACCTTATTGTAAATATTTTATCCCAAACAGTTCTTCTCCTCAATATTGTAAAAATCATTCTAAATAGTGTATACTTGTGATTTACTATGCATCCTTAATGCATGTTAGATGAATCAGAAAAATAATGTCTGTCAATGGCTATTCTCTATCTAACAAAGGTCTAGATCTATACATTTTAGTCCTATTGCTCTTACAGAAACCATTAACTGTTGTTTAGTGTCTGGGTTATTCTCATATTCTTTAATTGTTTTTATTGCTGCCCATAAATATGTCTGTATTGTTTTTGACCTATTTAAGTCCCACACCTCTTCTTCCACAGGATATTGTGGTCTAGTTTTACTCCCCTGCTCCGATCAGGTGTTTTTGATGCCTTCTTTTTTCCAGCCCATGCTGTAGCTCATATTTCCTCACCTGCTGTCTTTTCTGTTTTGTCATCCCTGTGGAAGGTGTTAAATTGAGCTTTTGTCCTCACCCATCCCAACCCCCTCGAGTACCTTTGGGTTGGCCAGTGCTTTGAGAAAGCATCTCCCTTCTTCCTGTCTCTCACACTCTCTGTTGCTGGAACATCCTCCCCCAACCAAACGAGGACCAGATGTTAGAAAGTTTCTTTTTTTTATCAGAGCTTTTCCTCCAAGATTAAATCAGGGGGGAGCTGGAAAAGAGGGGGACTTCCCACACAGTTGCGTTGCTCAAACCTGAGTGGAAATGACGCAACATGCATGAGGTGAAAGCATATAGCCAAACTCTCTTAACTGTGACAGATGGTTGATCTGTCAGTACGAGATGGTGGCTCGACTTTTAAGCCTCTCGCTTCTTAACATCAACACAAGGAGCTAATTTTAGCTGGATTCAGAACAACAGAGGGGCTTAGTCAGAGCAGAATGAGGGCTGCTGAATGAAAAAGCCAGTTTTTTTTTGGAAACGAAGCAAGAATATCTGTTAGTGATCCTCTTGCTTCTGTAGCATCCCTGAATTTGTTAAGATTGTTGTGCAGAAATAATGCATATACACCAGTTACACAAGTCTTCCGGTTAAAAACTGGAAATTGAAGACAGCCACTGATATTTTAAAGGTTAAAATGAAAGTTAATTAGTAGTACCTGGATAGTTTACTTGGTACTAATGTCTTTAGCCTCTGACCAGTCTCATGTGGGCAGTACTCTGATTGTTTTTCTAATAAAATGTAACCTTTATAACTTACAAGACATTTATGATTTAGTGATCATCTATGAATCTAACTGCAAATCATTTCAGTCTCCAACTGAATTTCAGTTGCCTTTAAAATCACTGTGCTAATTTACCACACCTTGATATTGTCCCGAGAGGACAGATAAAGCTACATTGATTTGTATTTATCTGATCCAGCTGCCTTTGTTCTATAGTCCATGATTAGTCATTGTTCACGTTGAGATGAAGACCTGGGTCCAAAGTAGGGATGGGTTCTCAGGGCTTGATGTTAACCATTGCCCGATCGCCCGGGGCAAGTAGTTTTTATTGTCGGGAGAGTAAAAATTTCATTGCATTTGCCCGCCGGGCAATGATCACAAAA